ACTGGGTGTCAACTTGACTCCATCTACGGCTGACACTTTGAGCTCCTCCACAAGTGCTTGTTGGTATGGTGATAGCTTATCTGAGAATGTTCTCATCACTTCCGGTGCGAGTGGATAATCATTGAAGTAGTGGTGCAGCGAAGAGGGTACCTCAAGATCACACTCCACAATGAACCCAGTGCTCGAATCTACAGGGTGTGCCAGTATCTCGGACAGGTTCTTGTCACACCAGGCAAACTCAGATGTCGGCATACTTTGGCACATAGCCCAGCCATACAGGTTGTTGGCATCAAGGTATAGCAGGTATGATGTGGGCTCGGCAGGATTGTACTGACCCATCGTTGGGTTGTTGGCCTTGCCGTACCGCTGCGACGCCATTGAGATGCCCCCACGTAGACCGGCTTCGACAAACAGATGCATGTCTACATCCGTGAGCAGCTGCAGTTCAATCTGGGTGAACCGTAGTAGAGCATCCCATGCATATCCTACATAACACCATGCAACACACCAGAACACAAACACGAAAGTCAATACACCATGCAAAAAGTATAAAAATACACCGACTAGAAAGCACAAGAATACTAACAGAGAACACCATCTAAAGGAGAGAATACATTGGACAACAACAAAGACTGATGAACATACCTGGGAGAGTAAGGTAATGAGCTGGATCCAACCCATACGTCTTGTATGCCGTCTTGCGGAAATGCTCAAAGACATCTGCTAGAAGATAGACATCTGTTTGCAAATAGAGGTCATGATAGGCCTCCATTGTACTGCACTCAAATGTCTGCAAAACAAAAAACAAACAAAACAAAAAACAGCAACGCACACACGCATGCACACATCCATACACACAAGCATCCACATATCCACGGATAGAGAGCAATGAGTACAAAAAAAATGTGTAGGGCACATCACAACAGCATACAAAGTCATAAGTAGAGCACAATAATGCAAAAAGCATGGCATCAGGGAAATTCCGAGGGTCAATACAGAAGGCACAAGCTGCTTACCTGCCATACGTTCTGAGCATGGGCATAGTCGGCATCACTGATACCTTCTCCAGTCAAACTAGACTCAAATGCTGATTTAGGTGGCAGCTGTGTCTCATCAAACCGAGCAAAGGAGTCCATGTACTCGTAGGGGTAGACACCCTTACGCCGGAGAAGGTCATGATGGGCTAATGTACGAGTAAGCTTGAAGGCATCTTCCGGGGTGTTGCTCACCAACGAGTCAAGAGAGGAGTTCAAGAAGGCCATGGAGTCAATGAAGCGGTACTGACGCCACTTGAATGAAATATATTTCTCCATGTTGTTGGCGATGACACTGATCTCACCAACCTTCCTAATCCGCTTACGCTGGTTAGAGTCCTCGTACTCCACCTCTTCAACCTCGGTCATACCAATGTGGGCGATGAGGTGGTGGGCATCATACCCTTTCAGGTTGTGAAACACAACTGGAATGATCTGGCGATCTGGGTAGATACTCAGCTGAATATTACACTGGTAGTGTGCAGCACCACGATAGTCGCCTGTGCAGATATTCAGAAAGAGGGGAATACACAAACATAGTAAACATCTACAGTGAAGGTGATACCACAGACAATACAATTCAATACACCGTGATAAAACACATATGCAAACAGCTACAAAGACATGAAAATGCACTATACACATCATGTGCATATCTACACACAACTGCAAAACAACAAAAATAAACAAAAAAATTATAATACTTACCAGTGAGATGATCATGATCACGAACACGATCTTCTCCAAGTACTTCGTCACATATCCAGCAGTTGACTGCGTTCTGAAACTCAAGCTCCAGTTCTGCTGTCATGCGGATTGGCTTGATATCAGCCAAATCCTCCTGGATACTGCCTTCCAACTCTTTGAGACTGTCGAAAAAGTTGTGAATGGCATTCTCACTGCAGTCGTCAAACTCGCCCCGGACTTCACCGTTGGATCGGATGGCAGCATATCTACAAGAGCATAAAAGAAGAGGGAAAGTAAGAATAAGTGATTTTGAAAAAATGGAATCACACAAAATGCACATACTACAACACGAACACCTAATTTGTGAACAAGACAAGAAGGAATAACAGCAAGCACTGTGCAGGCCCGAGCACAGCAAACATTAGTCAAAAACAACACCAACAACAAAACATACCTGATGCTGCATGGCACGTGACGTGCTGTGCGTACAGTGCTGCTGCCATGCTGTTCCTCCATCGGCTCAATGATGGCCTCCGTATCAGCGTAAATGATATATGGAGCCACCATCCTGTGCTTCAAATTTGTATATTTGAGGATGCTGTCCTTTGCTGTGGGCATGACGACTGGCACGGGCTTCATCACCTGACATCTCTCGCTGTGATGCTGCAGGGAGTCTGCTGTTTTGTGTGCGGAGAGGCATCGCAAGCAGTAGTGTGTTGCCCGCTTGTTCTTATTCTCACATGCACGACTGAAGTTTTTTATCCATGTGAAGTGGTTGTCATGTAGAAGGAGGTTGATTGGAGTCTCATGTCGCTCGCTGAGATAGAGTGGGTACAGATTCCCCTCGTAGCCAAACACATTGATTGCAAGACCATTCTGTAACTCCACTTTGGGTACATCACGGAGCGTTGCAGGGAACATCACACCATCGAACCGCAGCTCATCAACATACTGGGTGTACTTGGATGCCCGCTCAGCATTCTGTTCGACGGGGTGCAGCGCTGACAACAACGCCCACATCAAACACCTGTCATCGTTGTTCTTTACGTTAATGATGGCCTTCTTTTTTTCTAATTTCGGTGGGATATCAGCTGCACCACCTACAGTACACCACAAAAATACAACGAAGGCTTTGCTCAGAGTAACACCACATCACAACTACACCCTCTCGACAATCACGAAAAACTGTACATCTAGTACAAAACATCTACAACTTTCCACAAGAAATTCGACAGGCTTCGAACAAACACTGCCGGATGAACAGAAACTCACCTCGAAGAGGAGTGTACTTTGCTGTCGACACATCCAGCTGCCTCACTCGAGAAACGGTCCAGTCGGATCCGTTCTGCACCCACTTATCAATAAGACCAGTGATCCTCGCCACCATCGTCTTGACTGCACTATCAATATCCCCTTCGCTGAGGATCCGAGCCGGTCTACTTCTAAAAAACGGGACGGCAGACGTACTACCCGTGGCCGACTCTCGTGTCATCTCCACCCTCAAAACTAAAACCACCTTGAAAGGGTGAGACTGAAGCTCCTCGAGGAGAACCTGTCTGAGCTCGTCATGATGGCTGCTGAAAAAGACGAGAGGATCAGTGCCGGAACCTGGCAAAGAAAACTTTTTCAAAAAACCACGCACGGCACTCGAGGTGGGCAATCTGGGCTGCCTAGATCGTTTTGCACTTGGCTCCGCCATCGTCACGTCACCTCCAGCACCGCCTACAACATACTGAGGAAAAATCTCCCCGTACAGCGTATATGAGGTCGGCTATCACATTAGTATAATTACACATATAAAAACCGCTTTGGGAGCGGTTTCAGAAAAACGTATACTGGTGTAGTGCGTGCATGGATTACCCCGTCGTAAAAGTGTGAAATTAGTACTGGTTAATCACACGTACGTTATTGAACTTTGCCACCGAAGTAATGGATGACGTCATCCGAACGCACCAGTAGCACGAGGAGTACGTCGTCAACACACCACACGTATGTACACACACACACACACACACACACACACACACACACACACACACACACATGAGGATGGCTGCGGTCCGCGCAGTGCAGTGCACGTGCAAACTCATGCACGCAATGAAATAAATCGCCCCATGAGGCCACGATCACCCCAGCCAAAGTCTGGAAGACGAGACTGCGCGACAACCAAAGCGAGCACCGCGCGCAACTGAGATACACCTGAACCTCGTGCTACTGGTGCGTTCGGATGACGTCATCCATTACTTCGGTGGCAAAGTTCAATAACGTACGTGTGATTAACCAGTACTAATTTCACACTTTTACGACGGGGTAATCCATGCACGCACTACACCAGTATACGTTTTTCTGAAACCGCTCCCAAAGCGGTTTTTATATGTGTAATTTCAGTTCTTTTTCCGCATCACTCTACACCACCCACCCGGCCCCCGCCTCGATGGCACATTGGACTGAGGCAGTCACGTTGCCTGCACCACCCACCCACGATTGGCCAAAGCACGACCGGCGTGAACAGATAGTAAGAAAGTAACAGCGCCCCTACACACGCATACGCACGCAGACAGGTACAGACTCCCACGCAGATGCACGTACACACCCGCAAAGAAATGCTGGTGAAGTGGAACTTACCATCAGCACAGGGTGCCCCCCCCACAACCACCGCGCACGCATGCAAACACACACATACAGATACACGTAGAGAGACAAATGCGCGCACGGAATCGCCCCAACACACACACACGCACACACCACACACACACGCACGCACGAGCTGTGCATCATACTGCAAAATTGTTCCTGTGCATGCAAGTGGATTTTATTGCTCTCCTCAGTTTGGGAAAGTCTCCATTATGATAATTCTGCGTGTGTTTGTGTGTCTGTACATACACATCAGACACAAACACACACACAAACACACACACATACCCCCCCCCCCCCACACACACACCTGGTACCTGGTAAACACTGCCATTACGGTCACGTGTCCCCTTGCGGGGCCGACAATATGGAACGACGAGCAACGGCAGTCCGCTGACAGAGAGGTACGACACACAAACACGCACGCACGCACGCACGCACACACACACACACACTTGCACACACTTGCACACATGCATACATGCTAACACACACTCACATGTCATGGAACAATGGAGTGCATGACCACGGACGGGCGAACAATGGGGCACCCGCACACCCGAGGAGGAATGTCTACGCGCCCACATGCCCATCCACTCCAGCACAGGACACGCACTTCCCCACAGTAAACGCAGCACAGCGCCATTCATGCTACAATCTTTTATTTCCAACAAGGTCGTGCATTTCGCCTTCCCCGCCGCACAACTACGCCGACCTGGACATGTACAGACGCACAACAGTAAACAGGGTATGTTTCAGGATGAAAATGATGCTTCACAAACATTCCGCCATTTTCAACTATTACTTTCACTCCATGGCCCGCACCCTCGCGGAATTTCACAAGCAGCGGGTGCGGGTATTGATGAAGCAGTCCTGTACCACACCCTTCAACGACCCCAATGTGCACACAGATATGTGAATTACTTAACGCAGAAGCCATGACTAGGGTGCTTCTCCAAGTAGCGCCTCACCTCTCCACTTCACTGGCACGTCCACGTCCACGACCACGTCCCCGTCCCCGATTCCTTGGCTGCCGCCCAGTGTACACATTGTGGATATTGATTCTGCAGATGAACACAGACCATAGCACATACAAGCACAAAATTGCAAACATGATATTTGCCTAAGGATTGCAGTTTGCGGACCACGCCACGTAACATGAGAATGAGGCCTCATGTAGTACAAGTTGCACAACAAGCAACTGCAGCCACTGTCAAAAGTGCAATTTCCCGAGTACACGATCTTGATCATGGGGAGGCACCATTCCAAATTGCTATCAGACATTTCCCATTCACCACATGGCTACGGCACGTGGTCCACGTTCCTACTCCTCGACATGCACGATTGTATAGTGTGCGTGTCAGTGCACATTCGCCACTGCCACTGCCACCACAGGTTGCACACGGCATATCACTCACATCTGCCCATGATAAGAATGGGTGGGCGAAACCATAGGCCCGCCTGCCCACCTCCGCCGTCTCCTCCCCCCACGACTTTGCGGGTGCTGGTGCTGGGGCTGGTGTGTTCCTGGTGCGTGGTGCGATGCACCGACGTGCTCCTCCTCTTCTTCAAACTGCCGCCGCTGCTGCTGCTCCTGCTGCTGCTGCTTCTGCCGCCGCTCCTCCTGCCGCCCCTCTTCCCTCTCGTGCCATTGGCGCTTTGCCTCCAGTGCTTGCTGCCGTCGCTCCTGTACTTGCAGCTGACGTTTCTTGGCTTCAGCCCGGCCCCGCACCTGAGACTCGCGCCACAGCTGCTGCGCCTCTTTCTCCCGCTGCTGGGCTTGCTGTTGTGCTTGCTGCCGCTGCTGCTGCTGCCGCCGCTTCTCCTCCTCCTCTTGCCGCTGCCGCTGCTCTTGCTGAGCCTGGTGGGGGGCGGCGATTATTGGCGGTGTACATGGGGCATCACTCCCGTCCGGTGCCCACTCAAACAGCCGCTCTGCGTCAGCGGCCGACATATCCAGTGCCTTCAGGCACCCAATCGCCGTTTCTGTGTCTGTAGATCAGCAAGCACAAGGAACCAGTACACATTCAATTAGCAACGGATTGCATGGGATCCTGAGAGGATTCCCACCAACCACCCATCCTCACTACTGCAGCAGGAGGACACAGTGCGTTACCTCAGCATCAACCAGCAAGTCGCTGGGAGCGAGAATACCTCAGCATCAACCAGCAAGTCGCTGGGAGCGAGAATACCTCAGCATCAACCAGCAAGTCGCTGGGAGCGAGAATAGTGGTATATTGTTGTTGTACTACAACCGATACCGCGCGCACATGTCAAGTAATGACACACAGCGTCATTCATTCATAGTATGCAAGACATACATTTGTATGATCAACAATACTCTCGTTCAACGACACTACACTGTCGTTCGCATTCCACACATCACCATGGCGGCGCACCCGAGCTGTGTAGTGACCACCCGTGAGCCCACCATGGTGGTTCACACTCGCAACAAGAGAAAGATTTCTATCACCAATATCAAACGAGGTGGGCAAAAGGAAACGTGCAGCCCTCTCCTCACGCACACCTCGGAATATTTCCATGCAAACACCTGTACGTGCACGCGCCATAGCGGAGGTGCGACATATGTCGTGATTTCCACCACATGCAGAACATTCATGGCGCCTTGTGTGCGACAGACATCTGTACGCATCTTCGCTTGTATCGCCATTGAGTAGAATGTTATGGATCTGCAATTCACGCTCGCCCTCAGCAAAGTTGCGTGGACACTGTTCACATTCACAGTGCCATGTGTTAATGTACCCTATCACCATTCGGGACTTCATGGTGTCTGCTCCTTTGCTGCGAAGGTACTCGTCGCATGTTTCCACAAGCCACATTAGAGCTTCGGTGACATTTTGGCAAGAGCCATCGAACATTGTCGGTGCAGCTCGCCTACAATCTTCCAGCAACTCCCTGATAGGAGGTGCACCTTGACACATTCTCAGCGCCTCCAGCGTCGCAACAAGAGGTCGTATTACGGGCTCATCAGTATGTACCTGTTCGCCGTAAACATTGCTCAGGTGAATGCTCAGTTGACTGGAAGCAAGAAGCTGGAGAGCACTGTTCAGGAAACATGTGTTTCCCAGGTTTGGCAACCCAACAGGGGCTACGCTGGTCGGCCTTCGCAAAGTCAGGGCAGGGGATCGGCAATTCTCATTTCCTTCTACCTTTGCCACGGTCGGGCGCACACTTCTTTTCGGGCCGGGTTGACGTTGAGCCTTCCTCTTCTTCGCCCCGGGTTCTTCAGCTGGAAGTGGGAAAGGTGGCAAGTGGGGTGTGAAATTTGCCCGCAGCCGGTTATACTCTCGAACATTCTTAACCTCAGCTGTTATAGACTCGCGCTTCAGCCTCAGGATGTGGATCCCTTCCAATGTCTTGCAGCGTGACAGGGCCACGTACGCCATGCCAGAAGTGAAGATCTCGGGACCTAACGAAGTTACCACGGACTCCAGGGTCAACCCTTGCGACTTGTGTATTGTGATACTGTATGCCAGCACCAGCGGGAACTGTCTGCGATTGTAGAAAACACCTTTGCTTACCTCGAAAGCGACCGTCACTTTCTCAACAACCTCAACGTTGTTCGTGGCGTCAAGCAAAACATGTACCTTCTCGACACGACCCTTACCTAAGTCGAGCTGAGTCACTTCACCCATAGACCCATTTACTAACCCCTTCAACACATCCACATTTCTGCGCAACATTACCCGACACCCAACAGCGAGTGTCAATGTTTGCGGTAATCCACCCGTACGGGTGTGGTCTAGGTGCTGAAGACGTTCAATATCCTTCTCTTTCGGGGTGCGCAATGACTGTGAATCAACACAGTCATCGCACGGTATGACGAAAGTCAAGGGGAATGACCCCATCATCTTTTCGTTTATAGATTGGCACATGGCCTGTGTAGCCATCAAGCATGTGGGGAGCTTACCGTGTCGTTGCATGTCGATCAGGAAGTCAGCAACGACCATGGGCCATTTGTCATCAACATACCCTTCCATGACCCTACTCTGGAGGCAGGAGAAGTCCTCGTTTGTTACCTCACCAACACGTACTCTGTTCAACAGCTCGGTGAACCGATTGTCCCCTTGCTGACGGACATTCTTTGTCAGTTCGGCATACCTAAATGAGCCCCACAGAGGCATACACGTGGCGGAGCCCGTAACGCGTTTCAGCTGTGCATGTGTTACCTCGCAGTACACAGGTAAACCTTTAACAGGTGACAATTGAAGCAGGTCCCCGAAGAATACCAGATTACAGCCCCCGAACATCTTACCGGACCTCTCACCGTACCCTAGGATTTCGCAGAGCCGCAGGTGGATGTACAGCAGCGTGACATTACTCACCATGCTCACTTCATCTATGATGAGGAGCTTCAAGTTTCGCAACCTAGTTCTCAGTTCAAAGCGAACCTCACCGGAAAGAGTTCGATACTCCCCGCAAGACCCATGCTCAACAGGGAGGCTGAGAAGCCTGTGGATAGTTACCCCCCCAATTCCATGGGCAGCCAGACCAGTTGGAGCAGCGAGGGCGACGCTTCCTTCACCAAACTCTTCAATGCAAGATGCGCGTAGCGTGCGTATGAGGAAAGTCTTGCCGCAGCCCCCCTGTCCACTCACAAATAGGGTCAGAGGGTTGCATTTCTCAGCAGTACCGGTCGCAGAACACAAACTTTTCATGATGTCATCGAATACTGCGCACTGCTCGTCAGTCAAGCTCTCCCGTGTGTGCTCCCCACTCTCAGTTGGATCAGCCCGCAGGGCCAGCTCTACATCTTCCATCCTGTCCAGTACCTTCACTTCGACATTTCCTGTTGCTTCAGCGGCGTACGCATCAGCGTCTTCGAGAACTAGGCGATTATCTCTCCTTTCATTCGCTTCCTCTTTTTCTTGGGCAGTGTCAGAGAGTTGTGCCATCCTTTGTGCATGCGCATCTAATTCGAGGAGGTGCGGATGACTCGCAGTTGCTTCCGCAAATGCATCTGCGTAACTGTCCCGTTCAAACTTGAGTTCAGCGACATCACGGAAAGGCACATGGAGAAGCAACAGGGTCCAATAATACTTTTCTCGCTGCTCTTCAGACCTAGTCGGATACCACGCGCGGTAGTTCAGAACTTTGCTACCGGCACGTTTACGCACGAATCCTTTTTCGTTTCGCAACGTCTCGTAGCCCCCCTTCCTAGGTCCTGCCTGACTTGAGTACTCATAGTAAGCATGGAAGTCATGGTAACTGACGCCCTCCATGCGGTCCGACCTGTTAGGGTAGTAGTCTGTAAGCCACTCGTCCCGATATATGTCAGTACTACTATTGTCAAGTTCAGCGATCTCAGCACGCGGCCGCAGCCTTCTTTTCATCTCGTGTGGAAACGCAGTGTTAACCCACTTCACCACATCCGACTTTACGACAAGCTGTGTGCCAAGCAGAAGGTCAGCTGCCTCGTACGCACCAATTTCACGCTGGGCCAAAGCCTGCGCACCGAAATAGAACGCCCGTCGAAAAGGATCCGCATGCGCCTGCCTAGCTGCTTCAGCAATATCCTCAAGTTGACTGCGTTCAGCCTTCGCAATATATCCAGTCACGTATCGCGCCACAGTGCGGGCCTCGTCCGCTACGAAACGGACATCCATGTTCCCGTTCCAAGCAAGCAGCAATTCTGGATTGTAGTCGTTAACCATCGACTCACTACTGCCACGGACAACATCATACAGTCTGTTGTTCGCATGCCGCGCATCGGTGGGATCACGAAGCTGGAAGGTCTGGTTTTCCTTTCGTGGGAATCCGTATCGGCACCGCGTCACCGCCACAGATTTCCCTTCTCCAGATACATATCTCGTGCGCCGGCAAGAACGGCCCGAGCATACATGGACCTGCCACTTCGACACCATCTCATGCAGTCTTGGATTGCACACAGGATCTGGTAACTGACAGGTGACACGGCTTGTGATGAACTCGCGAACTTCATCGCCAGAGTTGACACCGACAACAGGCGCATCTTTCACCCACAGAAGGCAATGGTAGTGCCCAGCACCTCTCGCCTGGTATTCCAGGCGAACAAAATGATGCTCTACTCGTCCCAGCGGCTGTGCCTTGTGCAAGAAGTCAAGAATGGCCTGCTGCCTAATGCGGAAGTGTCGTGCAACTGTGACAGGGTCCTGTGCGCATAATTCACCTTGTGTCATCTGCCCCTCCACGTCACGGTTGACAGTGCGCAAGTGGAAGTCCATGTCCTCCCACTCATACTCACCGGCACTGAATGTCACAAACCATGTAGGTGGCCCAAATGTCCGCACCATCGACATCAAGTCCCTGTAGTGCATATGCCAGTATCCCTGTGTACCTCGCACGCGATTCAGGACGCTGAAGAATTCCCCATCCATCGCGTCATTTGAATAGGATGACTGGTTGGACAATTGACCAGCAGTAAGGCTGCTACAAGCACTCCTGGAAGGCAACATGTGCTGCACTCCGCGGCTTACTGCCTTCAGTTGGTGTTGGTTGCATGTCCAAAACAAGTACGCCTGGTCCCTGCGAAAGCGACTATCTGCATTCGTGAGACGTTGAATGTGGTAGTTTGCGTCACTTAATTCCCTATCGCGAATGTGGTACTTTCCAAAGCGTCCGTGCGGGAAGAGATGCGGGAATGCGGAGTATTCAGTTCTTTCGTCTCTTGCGTCCACTGGCACGCCCGTCGCTCGCTCTTGTCGGTAGTAGTGCGACGTATCCTCAGTCGTGGCGAAGTCAAGTGCATGCATGGAATACTGCTCACACATTCGCAAATGCTCATCATGCGTCATGCGAACAAGCAAAGGTGACTCTGCATCACCAACTTTGTCTGCACACTCTGCAATACCCAAGCGTGCCTGCAGCTGTTCGTCAGTCGTTATATTGCGCACGTCGGCGTACTGCGGATTAACCCCAGATAACCACTGCAAGGCTTCGACTACAACCTTCGGCCTGACAAGGTGCTTCCAGACAATCTTCGCGCTAGTTGGTACACCGTTCACAATGATGTTTATATTGTCAGCACACAAGTCATGCATGAGACGCGCATTGGCATCAATGGGCAATGGAAGGTGCAGTATTTTGTTCTTCGCACACCTCACTCGCTCCGAATACGGTCGGCTGCCATGTTTCGTATCCAGCTTGTAACATGTCTGGAAGGGTTTCACTTTTTGGATGAGTAGCTTCTCAAATGAGTTCAGACGTGACAAGCATTCTGGAACAGGGTCCAGGTGCAAGTCATTTAGAACGCATGACGGCGGCATGCTCTCTTTGCTCATGTACGT